TTGGAGTGCAGTCACGTGTTGGATGGATTGCCTTAAAATTTGTTACAGAATACATTGGTATTCCCATCAGAATGAATTTAAATCATTTTTACTTTTCCTCAAACTTGATAGTGTTGCCACCATAACATCAAAATTCTAATCTGTCCTTTTACTTTTTTTTTGTTTATGACCAAATACCTGTAAAACTTGTATTCCCCTCATGCCACAGTTGTAATGTGTGTTAATTAGTAAATGCTGGCATGCTAACAGGGTGGATCTAGAACATTTTGGGTGGGGTAACTAGGCTGGGGCAAAACGTGACAAGAATCACATTTTGACTCTGGCGGGGGCGGCACCAAGGGTAGCCAATCAGATTTTGGAGGTAGTTGGCTCTGCCCATGACTCTGCCTACAGTCGGTACAGTTTTACAGAGCTGCTAGCATGGCTGTAGACTCATCTTGTATTGTGTGAACAGGAATTCTTTTATGTTGAATTTTAACTTTGATGGCAGTGGAATTTTGGTGTAATATGGAAACTATAAGCTGGGCACAATCAACATTTAGAATTTTTAATGAAGAACTCAAAATGGCAGGAATGAAACAAAAATTTGGTAACAAGGAATGGAAGAGCTTGAAAGGATCTTGTCTTTTTCCCCTTTGACACCATCTTTGAGTGGTGCAGATTGACAGAGAAAATAAGTGGAATCTGAAAGGTCACACAAGAGAAATCTATTCCTTCCTGCATCCCCTGCAGAAGAGGATGTATAGAAGTGTTCTCTTAAGTGAACCTAAGAGTCCTATGGTCATATGACCACATCATAATAGCAGTGGCCTCATTTCAGCTCCATTAGCAAATGTATGTTTCACTGTGGGTTCGTGTGGGCAGTGTGGCTTGAGACACATCTCGCAGATTCCCACCAGTATTTACGTAGGAGCTGTCGTGTGTGAATACAATAAAGTGCATGTGTGCTCATAAATACTTGTGGGGAACTGCTTTGCACACACATCCGCTTAATGTTTGTAGTGGGCATGTGTGGCTGTGTAGTCTCGTCTATGTGTATGTGTGCACATGCTTTTTTTTGAGGGTGGGGGTTAGAGCAAGGATGTGAGGTCATAGTGGTTTGTTGCTTGTGGTGTAATTAGTGGCAAGTCAAATGAAAACAGGAATGATTTCATTCAGAGCATACCACAATGTTAATGGTCCCTTCACGTCAGAATTTTATGCATGCACATATGTTTCACTTCACCGTGTTTTTCATAGGTTTGTTTGTGTATGTGTCTATGAATTTTGTTGCATGTGACACTGGATGTACACATTGCCACTTTATTAGGTACACCCGTACAATTGTATGCAATTCAGTGCAACACAGAAAATGAAGTAAGTATGCTGATGAATTTATAAAGTTTGGATTTTCGTGGATTGGTCCTGGTGATGCTCTACTGCCACAGTGTGTTGTTTGCAAAGCGGGGCTAAATGAGTTTATCTCCTCTAAGGGGAGGCCCACCTCCCCACACTTTGAAAACCCCTGGCCTTTATCTTTATCAGCTGGCTGTCTGGTACAGAACAGATCACAGCAGGTCTGGCAACAACACAGCTGCTCGGAGACTGCAAACACTTATCCACTGATTTATGTAAACAGTTGAGAAATCACACAATCTCTAATAATATCAGAGAGAAGCTTTCCTCCCTCATGCCAACCCATTGAGTCCTTAGTATTACAGAACCTGATTTTATGATTGTATGAGCCATAGAAAGATTGTGAAATGTCTACGTGAGCTTTGTTCAAGGGCAGACGCTGTGTCTCTTGTTTGCTTTGGAATCGAGATTATCAGGTGAGGGCTCCCAGCCTAGATCCATATCCAGAGGTCAGCTCAATGATCTGACCTCTTGCTTTAAAGCTCGCTCAGCTGTTTGCCGGATCAGGACTTGTGACAGACTAATAGCAGTGGGTCATGGAAGATGTAGAGAGTTAGGAAAGGAGGTGTGTGTGTGTGTGTGTTGGGATATGATTTTTGTTTCAAGGCAGTGTCTGTCACATGTATTCAGCCTAGTCTGACTGTGTGCAGACTGGTGTTATGCTTAAGATGCTGAGTGGCCGAGAAAGCAAAGAGTGCCCCCCCCCCCCACTTCCAAACAAAGTTCTTGTCTTGAACATTTAGAAAGAAGACCAGCACTCTTCAGCATTTCTTTGGAAGGCTCTGCCTCCTCTCACCTGTCCTCTAGAGACATGGCTGTTTTGAAAAAAGAAAACCCCCAAACTGTAAATATTTGCTCTCTGTGTTGCGTGAAAGAGGAGGGGTGTGTGTGTGTTTGTGTGTTTGTTTGTGTGTGTGTGTAGTCATGGGTTTTTTTTTTTTTGAGAAAATGGGAGTGTGTGTGTGTGTCTTTGTGAGGGTGTGCGTGTAGGTGTGTGCGCGTAATAGTGTGTGTGTGTGTATGGAGCTGTCTAGGAGGGGGATCTGGCTGACAGATTGAGAGCAGCTTGTTAGAAAGAGGAACAATGAGGTCTCAGCCCCTCTCCTATCTATCTTTTTGCTTTCCTGTTTTCTCTTTTCCTCCCCTGTTTCCTTTTCCCTTCGTTTTCTACATACAGATTCTTGGCCTCTCTTTTCTGTATATGTATGTTCTGACTTTCTCACTTGCCAGTCTCACCCATCATATGTCCATTTTTATTTTCCATCTGCGCTCGCTCACTCTCTCTCTCTCTCCCCTCACACTATCCTTTACTTATCAGCATACTATTACATGTGAGGACTATATGCATAGAAACACACTGCTGTTGTCATACCACAATGCAGTTACCTTTAACACCTTTTGTACACTGTCCCTGGTGTTCGTTTTGGCACTGGAGTTGAGTGATGTTGTGATTAAGCCCTTAATTAAACATCATTAATGCATGACAGACATTGTTGTGGAGGGCATCGAGATGAGAGGTGTGGAGGT